ATAGAACAATTAAAAATGAAAGGGTCTTGGCCCCCAAAAAAATCGAAGGACTTTCGAATAGTTCGGAATGAACAGTGTGTATCGATCGGCCGCCCCCGAGGCCCGCACCGGTTCCACGGGCCCTTTTGGCAGGTAGATCTCTCCTCTCCGCCGCCTCTGGCGGTGTGCGCTGCGAGCAGGAGCACGGCAAAGCCACGGGAAAGCGCGGCATTGACAGTGCAGCTCCGCACGCGTGACACATGTGAACGAGCAAGAGCACAGCCAAGCCCCAGAAGAGAGAGGCATTGACAGTGCAGCTCAGCATTGACGACGCGGTAGTGGCCGGAAGAGCCCCGGGCGACCTGTCCCGAAAAAGACAGCAGGCCCCGGAGGCCGAAATCGAGGAACAGCGCTGGGGCTGAGATCGAGGCCGACATCGGTGACATTCGCCGGAATCGATGCCACAATCGGAGCGTCGGAGGTCTGGAGATCTGGGCCTCTAGGCTCGGCCCGGCCAGGGTCGGTGAGGCGGGCAGGGCGGGCGCCTTCCGACGAGGCTTCAGGCCAGCCGCAACTGGGGGAGCTGTGGTCCTTACCCCCCTGGGGGACCCATCGATTTCGACACCCCTCTCGAGAGATCGTCGAGACGATGGGTTCCCCCAGGGGGGTAAGGACCACAGCTCCCCCAGTTGTGGCTGGCCGGCGAGGCTTGAGGGCGCCGCACCACGTGGAGATGCAGGCGAGAGACCAGGAGCGGCACGAGACCGAGCCTCCGGCGATGGGCTGGCCGCCCCCGCACAAGAAGGGGCGCCTGGAGCAGGTGTGCCACTGCCGGGACCCCAGCGGGGGCACAGAAGTCACCGGTATTCGGCACGAGCGGCATGGGTACGGAAAGAACGGGCACAGTGCCCAACAGCAGTTCGTGCTCATTTTGAACAGGATTCGCTGTCCGCGCCGCCGCGGCCTGTGTCCATTTGAGATAAACGGCCGCCTGCCCAACAGCGGCCGCTGTTGGTTTGGGACAACATTTGTCGTTGGGCATTGTACCCATTCTTCATTACCCATTTCAGGCGTCCGAAGAGATGCCGCTACCCTCCCAGATCACTGGGATGCAGAATTGCTTCTGGTCGCGATCGGCAGCGACCGATCTGCAGTCTTTATCGGTCGCGACCGATCGCAACCGATTCCCACATCGGCCGCGACCGATTTTGAAGCCACTCGGCCGATACCGCTAACGGATGTGAATCAAACCCGGTCGCGACCGATCTTGTCGGTCGCGACTGGAAAATACCAGCAGCCAGTGGTCAGGGCTTGCCTCGTCCTCGTCTCTTTGGGCCTCCTCGGAGACCCTGGTGGCCCCAGCTGGACTCGCCTCGAAGGCCTGGTCAGAACGCACCCCAGGAGAGGTCCGAAAAGCAGCGGTATCGACATCTTCCCGAGGCGGGAATTTATACATGACCACCGCCTGGAGGGTCAGTTTTCGGAGCCTCGGCAGGCGGTGGATATGGACATATTCGGGCCCTCAGGGGCCGAAATATATCCATATCCACCGCCTGCTGGGGCACCAGGACGTTGGTTCCCAGGCGGTGGATATGGATAAATCCCCGCCTCGCATCTTTTGGCTTCCCCAGGACCGCGTCGTCCAGAAGTTCCTGCCCGTCGACGGCGACCGGCTCTGCCACGGCAACACCTACCGCCTGCGGCTGCGGGTGCGGGACGCGCTGCTGTGGTCGCCCTGGACCGAGTTCTCCCCGCCGGTGCCCGGCACGAGCGACACGGGTACGGAAAGAATGGGTACAGTGCACAACAGCAGTTCGTGCTCATTTTGAATAGCACTCACTGTCCGCGACGCCGCGGCCTGTTTCCATTCGAGACAGGAGGCGGCCTGCCCAACAGCGGCCGTTGTTGGTTTGGGACAACATTTGTCGTTGGGCATTGTACCCATTCTTCATTACCCATTTCAGGCGTCCGAAGAGATGCCGCTACCCTCCCAGATCACTGGGATGCAGAATTGCTTCTGGTCGCCATCGGCAGCGACCGATCTGCAGTCTTGATCGGTCGCGACCGATCGCAACCGATTCCCACATCGGCCGCGGCCGATTTTGAAGCCAATCGGCCGATGCCGCAAACGACGCTTGGTCCTCCGTACCCCTGTCGGACGTCCAGAGGTGCACGTCCTCTTGGCGGCCCCGAGGCCCGCCCTGCCCCTGCAGGACCCCCGGCAGCCCGTGCCGCCGCCGATCGTGGAGGTGCTCCTGCTGCAGCAGGATCGGGTGTTGCTATAAGTGCCCCTGGCCCAAGGTGCCCCCAGCTTCTCGCTCCGTTTTAAAGCCCTTGGGGCCCCCTGGGCCTCGTGAGGGGTGCTCTGGGAGTCGTGGGGGCCTCCTTGGAAATCCTGGGGGCACATTGGGCCAGGGGCACTTATAGCAACACCTGACAGGATGGCCGGCAGCTGGCCGACCTCGCCTTCTCGGAGGTGCGGCTGCGGTTGCGGTGGCCGAAGTTCCGGGGCCACATGAAGGCCGCGAAGAGGGGAGGGCACTCTGGCCTGAGGTCGGGCACGTCCCCCTACAGGGCTGCTCGAGAAGTTGGAAACAGTCGAACAATACCCTAAAGATGGTCAAGCATACTCGATCAATAGTCCCCCTACGATTTTCTGACTATTTTTGGATGCTCCTCCTGTAGAGGGACAGGCCCGACGTAACCCTGGCCCGGTGGAGCGGGCCTCGCCGCCCTCCTCCCCGCCCCCGGACCCTCCCTGGCTCGGCTGGCCTGGTGCGCCCGTCTTGCAGCTCGAAGAAGAAAAAAGGGCGGGAGCAGGAACTTCTGTTCTTGGATCCTCGCTGGGCCCCTCCGGCGGCGTCTCTCTGGCCTGTTTGTTGTTTCTTCGTCCAGGGAGGGCACCCTGGCTCGGTGGAGCGGGCCTATCCGCCCTCCCTCCCTACTCGGAGGGCCCTCCCTGGCTCAGCTGTCCTGATAATCCCGTCTTGAAGTGCAACAGGTACTGTGCTCAGAACGTCCGTGCTGGCACGTTGCGTGTTGGCTCACCGTGCTGGCCCACGTTTTGGCCAACGTGTCGCATGGCTTCGCTGCGTTTTGCTGATCTCTGAAAAGGCGTGATACCAATGTACTTTATTCGCCTTTCTACTTCATGCTTTCTTCTTCCGACCGACAGGTACGTGTTGCGTGCTGCGGGTGAGGGCAGCTAAGCTTTCCCTGGACGTCCGCCCTGAACTTCCCCGGCCTGTCCTCGGCCTCTCCCCGGGGCGTTGGAGGCGTTGTTGCGTGTTGGCTCACCATGTTGGGCCACGTTTTGGCGAACGTATCGCGCCAGAGCTACGTCTGCAGTCTACGTGTGAAGCTCCGCGCTCACACGCTACGGGCTGCGTTCTGCGCATCGGGGCCGCTAAGCGTTCCTTGGGCGTCCGCCCCCTGGGTTTCCTCCGGCCGCCGTCCTCCTCCTCCTCCTCCTCCTCCTCCTCCTCCTCCTCCTCCGTTGCCATTTTGGCTCAAGATGCTCTGTTCCACAGGTGAGCACGTGGATACCGCTAATCCGCGGCTAGATCCAACCATTCCAACGCTCCGCTGCGTCAGCCTGCCCAGCCGGCGCAACATCCATCCTCCGTCTGTCACAGCCAAGGGCAGCCGAACCCTACAACCATGGGAACATGGAAGACTCCGTATGCGGATGCGCATGGCTATGTGTCTTGTCCTCACGATGGCTGTCGCTACGAGTGGAACTGGAAGAAGCAGGCTCAGTGTTGGCAGCGCAGTGGTGTCTTGGAACCACGGACCTCCCACGCCAGGCAACGCCGCCGCGCCCAACAAGCAGGTCAGCACGTTCCGCCAGCCGCCTGGTGACTGGTCCTCAGGCAGTGGCACACTTATTCTCGCCAACGGTTGCACCCACCACGGACCAGTTGGTCGAGGCGCTTCTCCAACGTGTACCTCAAGCCAGCTAGCAACTCGAGGCCATCAAGCAAACAGCTCGTCCCGCCCAGCCACAGCAGCCAGTCACGAATCCCAGTCTCGAGCGACCACGGGAAGCAACCAGACTGTCTCCAGTGGCTGGTACGAGCGCGCGAGACCGTCCAGACTGCGGCACAGGATACGGCTGACGCGCGTCTGGCTCATGATCGCCAGTTGGAGAGAGCAGCAGTTGCAGCACGGCGAGAAAGCCAAGGACGGCAAGTCCAAGCTCAATATCTCAGACTTCCTGGCGCAGGAGAGCGACCCCGACAATATGTGCAAGTGGGAGGACGGAGGGGCCTCCGATTTCTCCGAATTCGAACTGTCCCCCGAGGATATCACTGCCTGGCAGAATCACAGAAATACCTTCGCGTAGGAGATCAAAGAGCTCATCCGTCAGGCAAGCAATTTGTCCAGCTGCTGGACAACCGGGCGCTCGCAGGAAGGTTTTCAACGAATTCAAGGCCCGGGTGGCGACAAAACGCCGCCGACTCGGAGGACACGGGGAGGCAGCAGCAGCAGCAGGTGAAGCTCGCGACGATGAGCTTGAGTCATTGGATGGAGGCGCCGCGCAGGAGCCCGCCCCCGCAGCCAAGGCACCTGCGCCGCCTAAGGCGCCGCAGCCCGCGGAAGTCCCAGCCGAGGCTCCCCCGCCACGTCCTCTGTCCAAGGCCTCCCCAGAGCAGGTCCAGAAGTTCCTGGAGGCGGCGCGATCAGGAGTCCAACCCAAACCAGAATTCTTTCGCGAGCAAGGCTGCCTCGAGTTCACAGGGAACTCGAGGGCAACGCGATACGCATCTATCCTAAGCCCGGACATGAACGACCTGAAGTACGTCCAGGTGTTCGCCGCATCTTACTCCACGGTCTTTTGGTGTGGGGCCACAGGAGCGCCGCAGTTTTTGCCGAGAGCGACGTGGACATTGCCATCATCCCAGAGACTCACGTCTTAGCCAGCGACACTCCGGTTAATTTGAGTGCGCTGAAGCAGCGCAAGAGGCATGGGATTGTTTCCCCAGCGTACCGTGCGGCTAAATCACAAAAAGCGGGAGGTTTTGTTCTTGGTTTTTGGCAGCACCATTCTCGTACATCATGTCGACATCTCTTGGATAGCCCGTGCACTGTTTTTGGTCTTGCGGGCGTTGGTGGCACTGCAGGTACCACTGGCCCCTTGTCCTTCAGAGATGCGGTTGCCTTGGAGTGGGGAATGTCCAGAGTATCTGTTTCTGGCGATTGGTGTTTATCTTGCTGTGTCAGTTGGTCCCCGCAGCCCTCGTAACGCGGGCAAGCCGCCCGCGATCTCATCCTTGACTCCGAACCACTCGCATCCTCGGATCGCAAATCGAACGGACAGGTATATTTCCCGACAGGCATCACCCACACCTCCTCCGGAGGCAAGGGCTCGCGCATCATGGATGCGCCACCGGATCTTGAGATTATTGTTTTTCTCGAGGTGCTATGTATATAGATGCAGAAGGGGGCGGTCCTTATGGCGTAGTTTTGTTGGTGATGAACATTGGTTCGCTTTGCGCCGCTCGCCGTATTCTTGATTTGCCTAAACCCTTTCTACTTCCGCTGCCAAGTGTGATCCAGGCAGGCCCCGGCGCAAGCGCCCACGAAAGGAGCTCGCCCGACAGGCGCCGGCAGAAAAAAATGCACCGCGGGCGGCAGGAGCAGCAGCACAACGCGACCAACGGGAGCGCGGACACCGATGGCGAGGATATTTTGGCCCAGCCTCACGTCGCACACTCGTATATCCATTTTCCCGAGGATGCTCGGAAGTCTTCGCGCCGTGATTTTCACGATCTTGATTCGGAGGCCTCCCGCGCACGTGGCAGGCGTGCGCCAGCGAGGCCGACGACGTCAAGACCAACCCGCGCGACGATGACGGCGACCCCGCCAAGCATGTACAATGGCCCACCCAGGGCCGGGGTAAGTCGCGGGAGGGCGTCGAGGGTCTACACTGCCATTCTGCATGGGTGAAGCCGCCAGGTTGGATCCAACGCATTGTATATCAATATGACCCTGATGCTGCCGTTACTTTGAATAATGTCTACGTTATGTTCGTCAGTTGGCTTGAGATGCACGCGCGCCGCGCCCTGGATTTGCCGCCAGAGCGGGCGCGGCAGCGCTGCGGACGCGGCGAGGCACGCACTTTCAAGCTCGCCCCTATGCCACTGTCAACGCCAACGCGGTCGCACTCAGATACATCAACCAAATGGCGCTTGCCGCTTCCACGGAAGACGGCGAGCCCCCCCTCCCACCCGCCCCCCCCCCTTCCGCCCCCCCCCCCCCCCCCAACACCACCGCCCCCATCCTTGTTCGTTATTATTACGTTTTCCGGCCGATAGCGACCCAATCCGGGACCTCCCATCCGGACAGTAAAAAACCAATGCAAAGTGGCCGTTTCTCTTCTCAACACCGTCTGTCTTGTCGTCGACGATGCGAAAAGCGTGGCAGGAACGGGGCGCGGCGCACATCGCGCGCGGCAGTCAATCTGGGCTCGCCCATCCTGACTGCAAACAATCAATACAAAGTCTTCGTTTTTTCCTCTCAGCATGGCCTGCCTTGTCGCCGACGTCGCCGCGCGGACGTCCACGCGGGCTGCGGGCCCTCCCATCCTGATTGTAAAAAACAATTACAGAGTACCGCTACCACGACTACTACCACTACTACTATTTCTACTATTACTACTACTACTACTACTACTACTACCACTACCACTACTACTACTACTACAACTACTACTACTATTACTACTACTACTACTACTACTACTACTACGACTACTACTACTACTACTACTACTACTACTACTACGACTACTACTACTACTGCTACTACGCGCCAGCACCCAGTTGCGCCAGCATTGTTTCTTATGTTGTGGGAGGGCGGACCGTGTCCGTTGTTTCTTTCAACGTGGCCAGTCTTGTCGTCGACGGGACGCGGCGCACATCCCGCGCGGACGTCAATGCGGCGTCGCGGGGTATCCTCCTTTCGCATTGAAATGCCCGCGCAGCCCCCAGTTGTGCCATCACTGTTTCTGATGTTGTGGGAGGGCGGGCGGGAATGGGCATGCCGTGCTTGACTCGCTCGAGCTGGCTAGCTGGACCCCGCCCCACCCCCGCCCCACCCCGCCCCCTTTTTGCCGCGCAAGGTATGGACACAACAATAACGCATGGTCAAGATCGCACCGAGGGGAGATGTCTTGGCGCGCAGATTGTCGCAGGCCCCAGCGGACATGCCTCCATCTGGACACGGCGTGGGCAGAGACAGGCAGGATTAGGCCAGACCTTCCTGCGTATCCATAACCTCTCGCGAGATGTTCTCTGCGCGATGGGGAGATCAGTTACTGGGATTTCGCATGCAGAAGAGCTCTCGGCGGCAGCAGGAATGGTCTTCTAAGCTTGCGTCGGCGCGGCTGGTTCTCCAGCTATCACGACCAGCGCATCGACGACATTGGGGCAGCCATGGCCAGAGATCCAACCCGAGCAAGTGGCCATCCAAATCAAGCAGATCAGCTCCAAGAGGTCGGCGAGCATCGAACAGCGCGGC